AGATAAGGCCGCTTGAACTTGAGTTTGTATAATAGAATATCTCTGATCAGAAACATGTACGGAAACCAGGCTAACCCGCTCTCTCCGTTCTGCGAGCTTCCGTCGATCGAAAGCCTTGTCATTACTGTCAAAAGTTTCTCGTTTTCACTCTGCCTTCATATAGAAATCGCTACATAAGAGTTCACCGACATTAAGATGAATTGTTTGTTGGATTTCGAAATATAAAGTGTTCGATTAACTCTTTTTAAAAATCCCTTGTGATTTTTTACTCAAACTAGAAAATCCTTCGCTACTTGAAAAACCAAAAAAGATGTTTCCCTAAACCAAATGCGTTAGGAAAATACTCTTCTGATTTTTACCAAAGGTAGAAAAACCTTCGAGACTTTCTAAAAAACACTTTTTAATTTTTTGCTCAAACAGAAAAACACTTTTAGTTTTTAAACACGCTTTTTACGGTTAAGGATAATAAAAAAGGCCTTACTTGCCAAGCACTTTTACAAAGTACTTCTTAGCAATAAAAGCAAGTATTTTATCATTGAGAAGTCTTCTGAAAGCACATCGCAAGTGAGAAATTTTGAAAACACTTGCCAATTTTTCCAAGTTTAATCTATATTTATTTGTCAGTATTTTTCCAAGTACTTAGCAAGTACTCAAGTACGTTCTCTAGGGAAGACCGTTCTCTATTATTGTTTAGTATAAAAGCAGGGTTTCTTGTTTCTTTGCTCTGTTTGTTAATGATTAAATCACTGACATTGCATAAAAGTTGAATTTTGGAGGTAAAAAGTGCAGGAAAAACGCGAAAAGGTAAAAATATCTTTAAAAGAAATGAACGACCGTTCGCCGTTACTGTTTGTTCCTTAGGTTCTTGTTGTTGAGGCGCAGAATAAATGGTGGTCTGAGTACTTTCTATTTTTCTCGTGTTTCTTTAGGACCCTAGGGTTAGTGTTTCTTTTAACTGATGCGCCGCGAAATACTGTACAAAGCCATACTTAAAGTTTAATTTCAGAACTTCAATCAAGAAAACTACGCAGATTATACGAAAGGCGGAAAAAATGAAACTTTCTAAATTTGGTATTTTTTGCGACTCGAACGTTTTTCTTCTGCTAATACTTTCGTAAAAAAGTGTATCAGAAGTGAGAACTCAGTTTTTTTGTACTTCTGAATGTGCTCTTTCTGGTAGTCTGGAAAAGAAATTTTTTAGAGCAGATGGTGTGCTGCAGAACGAAGTTACAAAAATACGTCAAAAATTGACAGCCACACGTTTCCAACAATGTGCCCAAGCAAGAAACGGAAAACATAATCGATGTTTTGATTTTGCAGTTAGGTAGACAAGAGCAATCATTTCTGATCAAAACAAAACACATCCGATCGAAAAAGCTTTTAGTTTGATGAAGTTATGGGACTTTTACTGAAAGCACCACTATAGCCCGAATTTGAAAAATTAATGAAAAAATCCGTGACAACAGATCAAAAAATGGTTACTTTTCCATGGGTTTTGATGTGAAAAAATGTGAATTGTAGCTAAAAGATAGAGCGAAGTCAGGGCTACATAATGAATGATTCAGGTTTTCTTACCATTAAAACATTAACACAAGAAATCGTTTTTGACTTTAAAAAGTTTTCATTTTTTTCGTCTTTCCTATAATTTGCATAGTTTTCTTGATTGAAGCTGTGAAATTAAAGTTTAAGTATGGTTTTGTACAGTATTTTGCGGCGCATCTGCTAAAAAACACTAACCTTAGGGTCCTAAAGAAACACGAGAAAAATAGAAAATACTGAGACCGCCATTCATTCTGCACCATTGTTAACTATGGAACTCACCCACAAACACGAACACGATGTTCATTCCAATCAATTTTTGGTACATAGCCGTGATTTCGAACAAAATGTAATCTTATTGGAGTCCAAAAACTACATTGTAATAATTTTGTAAGAGGTAGCTCACAATTGAACGGATGATTCCCGGTCAGTCGAATTAATTCTGGATCACGTACGATCCAGTTATCGGGCGTATTCAAATCCCGCACGTCAACAATTTTCGTCTTCTTATCCATCGTATATGATAGTTAAAAAAGAAGTATCACTCTATACAAAATATTAGTCGTAAAAAGAGTGAGAATAGTTAATCATGCGTGGTCTCTTTTTATACTTTTGCGTTCTATCACAAATACAGTGATAAGGCGAAAATTTACATGTATACGGCTTGTCCAAGCGTGACGTTGTGACATTTTTGACACAGTAATTTGAGCTTTTCTCAAAAAGTGTAAGAGCTAGAAACTTCGTTCTTGCGCCATTCGACGGAGCTCGCCATACTCTACTTTTGGTATAAAAATGAAAGTATGTGGTTAAAGACCCGAATTTTTAGAACCGTTTTTCGGTGCGTGACGCTGTGACAAAAAAAGGCCCTAAATTCGAAGTTCTTCTCATTAAAGCTAATTTGCTGCGAATTTAGAAGAGCTAATAAAAAGCGCCTCGGGCAAAGTTTGTAGAGGAGTAAACGAGCTACTGATTGCTAAAAAAGAATCTTTCCAATGATCTTTCCATCCCTCAATAATTGTGTTTTATCGTCGTGACGCTGTGACACACTTTTTTCCCAACAAAGTTTGGAGCACTAAACATTGCTCAAAGGCTTTCATTTTCACATCGGACTTAGTTATAGGCATCTAATATTGACTAACGTGAAAATAAAGCTGAAAAAATGTTTTCACTTTCTTAGAATTGTGTGAGAATCTTAAAACTTAAAACTTTATTAAAAAGCTTGTTTTGAATCTAAACTTCAAAAGAAACATAACATCTTGTAGAGAATCGAATTCTCTATCGATTAGTGTAGCCTTCCATTTTTATTAGGAAAAGTGCCCAGGTGAGGAAATTGAAAATACAGTTTTCAAAAAATGTAAAACTGGATTTTTGGTGAAAAAAATTTAACTTTTTAAAACAAATAATGTGAGTTTCGTAATCAGCACCAAAAACTGCATCTAGTGAAATGCTCCTTTCAGTTCTACTCTAAAATAATTTTTTCAAAAACTTAATCAGCGAAGTCTCGAGTTACGTGGACAAGCCGTATACACAGATTAAGCCAGCGAGCGATGAAGAATAAGAATAAGTTAAACAATGAATCACATAATGTTACGTGTTTTAAAACGTGAGTTCAATTTATCTCACAACACTTAATATATGATAAAAAAGACACAGAAAAGAGAAACAACACGAGTATATATATTATTAGAAATCGCGAAGTCACGTTAACAAAAAAACAATAACACGTCCATGTGTGTGCTCGGGACCACACATGTCCTGGTTCTTTCTATGGTTTGAATTCTTCCTTGGGCATTGCTGCTGACGTTGCACAAGTCTCACAAGAAGTTGCCATACTAGCAATGTCTTTATCCATCTTTGGCCACCAACAACGAAGACGAGCCAGCTGTTTCATTTTAACCACGCCGAGATGAGTACGACGCAGCATGTGAAGCACTCGGCGTTGTAATTTCTTTCGAATTATTACTTGTGCATCTTTGAGCAAACATCCATTCACCACAGATAAAGAATGATGAGTATCCTAATATGCGATGAGCTCAAGATTGTTCTTTTTTGAAAATGAATTCGGCCATTGACAAGAGTGAATTTTTTCACCATCTGAAGCGTTCGTCCTTGTTCGATACACCGATATTACCGCGAACGACATTACCATGAATTTTTCATAGTACACATTTGCGGATTTTTTGCAGTGTGTGGTGAGAGATGGGAGTAAGGACAGAGCGAGAGGATACGTCGACATTTCCGCGAACCCACATTACCGCGACAACAGATCCGCCACGACTCTTCCACAAATTTTTGAAAATAGATTTTAAAGAAACTAAACTTTAAAAAACTAACGAAACAACTGGTGTTACTGGTGTATTTACTCGTTATTAAAATTTTATTACAGCTTTATGTTAAACTAGTTACATATCACATAAGCACTTGAAAAGCTCAAGAAAATTCATACGCCGTCAAAAAAATATGTTCTGTGTGAAACTACTTTTTGAACACACTCCTGCCCACACCCCCACCGCCCACCACGTTCTGCCAAAAATACCCAAATGTGTACTACGAAAAATTTGCGGTAATGTCGTTCGCGATAATGTCGTTTGCGGTAACATTGTCCGCGGTGAGGGTGAGGTGATCGATTCGACCAAGCTCATATTCGATTCGACTCAGACTGTAACCAAAACAACGATATTTTTATTTTCGCACATTTTCTATTACTTCCTAATGTTCTTTTCTGACAAAACACCTGACCTTCTGTTTCCACGTTAAAGTCCCGTTTTTATGTTTAATCTATTGTACATATGGAAAGATCATTTATTTTATGCACTCGGTTGTTTTCAAATAACTCAAAGACAATACATGTTAGAAACTTGCGGTTTGCAGCAATCGAAAAGGACACTTAAGGATGGGGGTTCACTAGGTTTTTGACACTTTTTTGAAAAACAAATTTTACCACAAGATTCAGTATAGTCGACAACCTATGTTTTCATGCATTTCTGACAGTCTAAACCTAACGACAAAGAACTCCTACCCAAACCATGGAAAACTAAACTTTTGCTTAGAACTTATTCTGTAGAGGACACTTCGGACTATCCATCTGCGAAAAAAAACGCTTTGTGTGTCGTTTTCTGCAAATTCCAGCTGGTTTTCCAAAGGTCTCATAGAAATCTGATCTTTCGAATGTTTCCGAAAGAAGATTTTGCTTGTGAAAATATAGCTTCAAGTGTCCTCTTACGATTGATAAGAGTTTCTGTCATTTGCTGTCTTTGAGTTATTTGAAAACAGACGACTGCATTATATTTTGGGATGGATAGTAGATCTATATTTTATTTTGTTTGTAATGTGTCAAAAACCCCCACCCTTAAGTGTCCTTTTCGATAACTGCAAACCGCAAGTTTCTAACATGTATTGTCTTTGAGT